AATCTTGTAAATCAGTTTTTATAGTTATTTTAATTTTTACAAATGATTGTAATTGAAATACTATTATTATAACTGAAGATTCTTAACCGAGTTTAAATAAAGATCTACTACTACTACTACTATTACTACTACCGACTGTAGTACAGACTGTACGATTTTATGCTACTATCTGCGTCGGTGTATATATATGTAAGATTTTAAGCCGTTAACTAACGGCGTAAATCTAACAGTATAAATTACGCCGTTAGTTACTGGCGTAACATCTTACATATAAAGACTACAGACTGGAAGTTTGCATTTATAGGTCTATTTTCACTCTGCATAATATCATAGTGCACATGCACAAATTTTGTCATACCATGCCTTGACAACTTCTAAGTTGTTAATTTAAATTGGTTTGACTCGTCTCCAGTTTTTTTGTTTGAGTTAATGACCACACACACTGTTCTGACCCCATACTAAAAACCAAAAAAGAAGATCAAGACAGCGTCATGATAATGTGACAAATCTGGTTGGTTGCTTCGCTCAACTTTGAAACTCTCCAACACATATCACCAAACAGAACATTTTGGCTAGATAACACTAAAATATGCAAGTCTGCCTGTTCTCGCGATTTTCTCCCCTCTCCACTGCGAGTCACCAATAAAATTAACCAATCAAGTGGGGCAATACTATCACATGAGTTTTCCAAATGGCAGAAGGCACACACTAAAAAATTTGCAACTGGAGGTATAATTTCTCATGAATACACGAAAGAGCTTGTGAGATTTTGTAATCAAGGCAAAATAAAATTACAACTTGATGATATGCTTGGCATAGTTTTATGTGGTTCATTCATCTTTCATCACAACACTTGCAATAGCTAAGATTAACACCAGCCAGCAACAACAAGATGGCAACCAAACCCTGGAATTCCATGACATCCAAACAATACTTAAGCAGGATATCAATCCTCTGGATTAGGACGTGTATCCATAATTAATGACAAATCTAAACATTTCTTTATTTGAAGAAACAAATTTCATAAATGTTTTCATGTACTGCTCACAGTTGCTAAACAGTGTTACCTACAAGATTACTTATGAAGAACTGAAAAATCTGATTGTTGGAATGAATAATGAAATCCAGCTAAATTGATCTTCTTCATCTTTACCTGCTTTGGTCCCATGCACTGATTGGCACAGTGGACTTTATTTGGAATCATATTGTTCAGTTCTTATAATGCAATTGCACAGTAACCCTAGTGAATAAAGTCCACTTTCACAATATAGCAGGCATGATCATCATCCTCATTTGCGCATTCAAATTAGCCCTCTTGGTCTATCTTCTACTGTTTTAAAGTGTATTATAGAGGCCAGAAAAGCTATTAGCCCACCATTTATGAAAGAGGTACATGCAAAGAGAATGAGTGAATCAAGACCATTTCATCTAAAACCTGGTGTACTTTTAATTAATGAATCTTGCTGAGGGAATTAATTTTTCCATGACTTAATCACATGAACCTTTAACTTGTGAAAATGGTTGGAATATTATCATCGAGATGATACAAATGAAAGGAACAAAGTGAAAAGTTCAGATTTCCATTTTCAGTGCTTACTAGTATTCAAATTAAATGATTCAGAACTTAAGACACAAAAGATGCAAATTCTACATATTTTATTGTAGCTTTTCAATTTCTGGTCCATATTTAATTTTGATGACACGGCCATTTTTGTCGTGATTGAAAAAAAATTGATTGGTAAGTCCCTTATAGAGCCAACTTTTAGCTGGTAACTTTACATGTAGATTGTAACCCAAATTATAATAAGAGAAGCCCTCAGAATAAAAAGATGTGACAATATGCCGCCCTTCGTCAAATGAAAACTTCCCCATTCCGGTGAACTGAACTCTTAATAATTTAATTTTCAAAATTAGAAATTTCCCAAATGCCCGAGAGATTTTCAATATCTTTCCGAAAAACAGCTTTAAGTGACTGTTAAGTACTGACTATTTGAATTACATACACGTCCTGAGTTTTGCCGCGTTCTGTCGGTTGTTTCGTTCTCTCCTTGGTCCGCCATAATTTCCTAACTTCACCTGAAAGCCGGTGACACACCAACCGATTTTATACGTTGATCGTGGCGATCGGCGAAAATCGCCTGGTGTGCCAGGTGCGGCAATTACGATTTTCCGCCGCGATCGGGGTACAAAATCGCCGATATCTGGCATGTCATATATCGGCTATTAAATACACCGGCATTCGCCAAGTCCCGCGATTTTCTCCCCTTTCCACAGCGAGTCGCCAGTGAAATTAATCGATCGAGTTGGGCGATTTTATCAAATGACTTTTCAAAATGGCGAAAGGCATCGAAAATTGTTTCTGAACCGATGAAAAAGAAGTCAATTCTCCTGAAGACCTTGCAACAGGATTTTGGAGTCGTTGGATCTGCTTTAAATTGGATCGACTCATTTCTGTCTGGTTGCAAACAAAGCTAAACAACATATACTTGTTGTTGATGTGACTTCGGAAGACTTTAATCTGAACTGTGGAGTCCCCCAGGGTAGTTGTATGGGGCCTACTTTATTTACTCTCTACGTCTCCCACCTCTTTAACATTCTTTCTCAACACCTCCCTTCCATCCATGGGTATGCTGACGACACTCAGATTGACCTCTCTTTCCGACCTTCCTCTATCCATTCGGATATTAACGCTGTTAAACCTTCTCTTGAATGGAAACAGAACAGCTTTACGGGCCCGTTAAGTTACAGGGCCTTTCGAGAAATGTGCCGCTGGTGTCAAATGTAGAGTTTGTCGTTGGTTCCCGTCCTTGCTCGAAGGGTTGTTCTCCGGGTCTTCCGGTTTTCCCTTCCTCCACAATATCCTATATTTCTGTTCGACCTGGAAACCGAGGACAAGGAGAACCACCTCACGGAATGTCCACTGCCAATTGACAATATCGTTAGTGGTTTAGCGTGGTCTGTATTCTTATCCAACATTTTTTATCACAGTGGTCAAAATGTTGGGGACTCACGAGGCGCTCACTCGTGAGTATCGAGTTCGGCACTCGATCAAAGAGAAACTCCATATCCACCCGCGCTTATGTGCTAATATTCTGAAGCTTGTTCGGTTAAGATACTGGATATTACCCTTGTTCTTTTTTTGTACTTTTGTGGACCTTGATTTCGCCACGGTCCATAAAAATACGAAAAAAGAACTCAGCGAATATTGAGCCACCTTGACCTCATCATTGATCAATAATTCATATGTAGTACGTATACTTGTGATCTACGCTGCGGGCTCTATCGCTTTTCCTATCTAACCACGTTTTACGACTTGAAGGTATTGGTGTATATTAGACATGAACGAGAGGGTTGTCTAATTCGCAGTTTACATTTTAAAAAAAAACTACTTCATCCCTACTATGTCGCTTGGTTTTAAAATGATATTTACGGGATGAACGGAGCCAAGGAGGACTTCAGAGTAGGTTTCTGTTCTTTACCACTCTTTCTGTTGGCTACTATTTTTCCCCAAAGCGATGACACAGATAAATCAGTTACATTCAATCGATTCCATTCTCGATAGTCTTTTCGTAAAGTCTTCCTATTTTCTCCAAACGTTCTTGTTGGCACTAAGTACGATGAGTGACTGAGGAAGAGATGGCTTGATGCCCTCAGTAATACTGCACTCGAAGCAACTGAAGAAATCAATGACGCAAAACTTGATGGAACTTGAACCTGTACCTGCCGGAAGCCAGAGGGTGCTACCATCTACTGAGCTATAAAGCCACATAGTAGGAGAATTTTCTGTTCGACTTCATGGAGAACGCCGTTTCTTTGTCCATTACACATATCCCTGTTTACACTCTGGTTGTCCTGTTACACCATGGAAACTGACCATATCTGTAGTTTTTGAGTGTCCTTCTTTGTTTCTTCAGCATTTACTGCTATCGCTTTTTCCCCGTCATTATCGTTGGCAGAACATCTGCATTCACTTGTGTCCAACCATGAAGAATCAACAGAAGACATCCAGTTGTTATGAACGGCACCAGTAGCAGCCACGCCATGTCATCTTTAAAGTGGCCATTAAAACTGTCAAAAAAAAAAGAAAAAGAGATTTAAAACATAACATGGTGGCAACGGGTTAGTATACACAAATACCAGCGAAATTATTAGGACAAAATAAAATAAGTTTGAAACGCCTCGTATTCGATGTGATAAAGGAGCGAAGTAATTCATTTGGATAAAAACGGTACAGGTACAGGTACAGGTTGCAAAATTGGTTAAAACAATTTTTGCTCGAAGGAAGAAAGTTTACAGACTTCATTAAGAAACCAACTTTTCACACAAAACACAAGAATTTAGCATACATGTATACGACTGGAACTGAATTCGACGACTTGACACAAAAATTTCCTTTAAAACACATAGCAGTTTTGAGTATTGCCAAGTCGCTTGTTGTGAATATATGAGGAGTTACAAACGGTTTATGGACGACACTTAGTCTCATTAAATGAGAAGATGAAAAATGAAGACAAACATTTCTTATTACCAACACAAAATCGATCCTCACTGAGAAAAACTAAGCACTATGTGACCCTCAGCCTGTGGCCTCGGGCTGTTCTCGAGACCAAGAATCACAATGTTATCCCAATATAGCCCTTTCGCCCACTTAATAACAAACAGATGTACCTTGCATGTAGAGAGCTTTGAAAGCACTGTCCGTGTTCGGTGAAAAGTTGTACTGATACAACAGCCCTGCACGGTTTTGATGGAACTTCAACTTGTTCGGTGTATAATCCTGGAGACTTGTAACTCTTCTTGATTATGAGTCGCCTACCAATGATAATCTACAAAAAGACATTCTTAAGTTACAGTAATAACAATGAACTTGAGATTCAGTCATACGATCAGTCAGTCTATTAGTTATTCAGACAATCAGCCATCCAGTCAGTCCACCAATCAGTCACTCAGACAGTTAGACCGTCAGTTCGTTCGTCAGTCAGTCTATTAGTTATTCAGTCAGTCTGCCAGTCAGTCACTCAGACTGTAAGACCGATAGTTCATTCATCCAGTCTGTCTACCAGTCAGTCACACAGACAGAAAGACCGTTAGTTCGTTCGTCAGTCAGTCATTCGATTAGTTATTCAGTCAGTCAGCCATCCAGTCAGTTTGCCAGTCAGTCACACAGACAGTAAGACCGTTGGTTCGTTCTTCAGTCGATCAGTCAGTCACTCAGAACGTCAGTCCGTTCGTCAATCAATCAATCAATCAGCCACTCAGTCAGTCAGCCCGCCATTCAGTCAGTCTGCCAGTCAGTCACGCAGTCGGTTAGCATGTAATTTAGTATGCCAGCCAGTCATTTAGTCAGTCAGTCAATGGTAGTAATGTTCCCTTCATGAGCAAACCTTTAACTTGTATAATTTTCCTTTCACGTCCATTGGCTGATCATCTCTGATTTCAAACTCAATGAGAAAATATTTCCCCGTAATCTGTGTATTTTCCAGAGATTTAGTTGTGAACCGTACTCCAACCTGGATTGTAAAAGAAACAAGATACAAAGAAATACACGAGGGTCAAGGAAAACTTCAGTGAACAGTCTGCGTGAATATCACTCTAACCGGTGAGCAATTGATCTTCACAGGTTAATTTCAGTTACTGTAGTGGAAAGTTTGGAAAAAAGATTCAGGCTTCGACGGGTATTTATAATCACTGGGCACTCAAAGGGGATGGAGACGCTGCACAATCCCCTAAAGGCATGAATCTTTATTTATTTCTTTTTTTTTGGATTTCTTTTCAAGCTTTTTTCTCTGCAATGACTTTAATTACAGTTGACCGGTGAAGATCACAGAATCAATTTATGTCTTATCCACATGTGAAAATCAGATTTATCTCCTACTTAAATATTGTGATCAGATACCTTAAGGGAGAACAAAAACCGCTAAAATTTGCTTCAGTTATGGCGTGCGAGATTTTCTAGACGTCTACCGCAATGGCGTTGATTGAAGTTCTCCTGCGTGATTAAGGATGTATGATTCACTCTATGCGTTATCCACAAATCAAAACAGGAATTTTTTGTTTGTATTGTTACAGAACATAGCCCAAGTTACATTAAATTACAAAAGAGAGCCATAGCTACACTATGCCTTCTTTCCATTTCAAATTCTAGTAAAATCCATGTAGAAACAACTTCTTACGGCTACAAAGGTGAGTCATCGAACTGAATTAGGAATCTGTCCTAATTCAGATTATTATTTGAAGTCAAGATAAGGGAGTTTACCTTCCCAGAGTAAAACGTTGTTCCACTGCATGGCAAAGTTTCTGCCGGCCATGAAAACAGTTCGTTTCTGTCTACAGGGAAGGCAAGACTGACAAACATATATTCCATAATTATAGGTGAAAGTAAAAGGTAATAGAACCTTGATTTCTTAATCAGTAATAAGTATGATCTTGATCTTCAGGCCGAGTCCAAAGAAGTAACTGGAATATTCCGTTACGTACGTCCAAATTAGATGAATGAATCTACGAAAGAATTTTCTTACGTTTGCATCCTTGATATCTGCGATACTGTGAAAAACTTTTGTGTGCTGGGTAACCAGCATGGTAGTATACAGTGCCACGCATTTATTATTTATCTCCCTTTCTTCAGCATAGAATAGAATGCACTGTGTTAGTTATAAGTCATAGAAAACTGATCTTTCAGCAATTTAATATGATTTCTATGGATCCTTGATATGAAACACCCGTAAGAATACAACTTACTTCCTGGTAATTTAAATAGATGAAGCGATTCAATTCATGTGCAAGGTTACATGGAGTGTTGCACGAGTGTTGTTGAACGTGATGTTGTGGGGTAAATACTTCACTGATATAATCAGACTTTGATCAAGTTCGCTATTGCATTTAGCCCAACATTTTAAAAATCGCATTTGATTGAATAAATACAAAAACAAACAAAAACAAAATTATCAGTAAGTTCATACCTATCTGTCGGTGCATTCGGCGCATTTCCTAAACACAACAGGGTCCCATCATCAGCCCCTAGCACCAGCTCCAAACCTGGCCTCCCTGGAACTATGTCAGCACTAACTATACTCCCCAGCACAGTCTTACCAACATTGATCAGTTCTGTGCAGCGATCAATACCCCGTATGATCGCTATCTGGCCATTAACCAGGGGAACTACCTAAGGAAGGATGTGGATCAACTTGTCACATAGTGATAACACGGGGCAACTTGACCTGCTTCTCCTTAAGATGCATGGCTCTAGTCCATGTTTCATGGTTACCTTCATTCATAGAAATTCACATAAAAAAAAACAAACAAACAAAAAAACCTCACGTTTTTAGACAAAGACAGAAGCTATGACTTTCTCCAGAAACTAGTTTAGTAACTAGAACTGTGTTTCGCACTTCACTTGGGTAGCGGGCGATCTTCTAATGTGGCAAAATCTTCGTGATTCAAAGGTTACTTACCATATCTGCGGCACTACTTTCTCCAGGAACTATTTTAGTAACCAGAACTGTGGCTCGTACTTCACTTGGTAATTTGACAGGCCATCCGTCCAGTACCTTACCACTGTCTCCTTCTAGAACCCATAGATACCTGTTTTAAGTACATCACGTGTTGCGGTTATAGCTCGATAAATTGAATTACGTGTCCTTACTGTAAACATGCTAAATAATGATTTCGCACGCGATTAACACAAGCCAATTTAAGAAATAAAGCCGTTTATTTTTCCAGCTGGTGTTCGTTAGAGGTACATCGCCATTTTACGAAAAAGGTTTTTGTGTATCTTTTTTCCCTTTTGATTTGTTCATTGAGCAATTTCTTAGACCTGTTTTTCATCCAGACCTAGTAAAGGGACGGAGGTTCTAATAGTTCGCACTTTCCTATCAAGTGAGTTCTCCCTACATGTACCAGTGCATCGTAATCTTCACGTTTCACAAAGACTCACCGAGGAAAAAACAAAATTTACATGTAATAGAACAGATTTGATAGCGATGTATTTTTCTCAACCATAATTACCAAATGAATGACTTGCTGTATTGAAGGTGACTTTTACAGTCCAACTCACCCATCAAACGTAGCAACAACAGCTTCCATAAAACCATCTCCATCCACATCAGCAACACGGATTCCTGAAGCACTTGAACTGGAAACTGTGGCCTCCCACACCTAAACGAAATGTTAACACTTGAACTCCAAAAATCTGATTGTTAATTATCCCCTCTCGCTGGTACACATTTTCTTGTCAGTAAATTAGCTATGAAGAATTGGGTGCTAGGTCAAGATAACAACTTCTACTTGATAAGTTTGAGTATTCTCAGTAGCTATTTGCTAGATGATG